TTTCATTGACCCGCCACTCTACGAAGCATGATGTCCTTCTCCAGGGACTGGTCCCTGTTAACAACATGTCTAAAATGTAAGAGATGAAATCTTGCCCTCTTTGCTTCTAAGGAGCATTTTGACTGCAGTTCTTGAAAGATTGATTCTTCTGGTAGTCCATGGTACTTTCAGCATTCCTCTCCAACACCATAATTCAAATGTATTGATTCTTCTCCAGTCTTCCTGATTCATTGTCCAACCATCACATACATAGGAAACAATAAAAAAAAATAACCAACCGTGTCTAGGGTCAGGTGGAGTCCTGGTGTGGTGCTGTACGATAAGCACTGGACTGCTAACCACAAGATTGGCAGTTCAAACTCACCAGCCACTCCTTGGAAAACCTATACAAAAGTGCAATGAGTTGGAATCGACTCAAATGCACTTAACAACAACAGAAGGGTCAGGCACACCTGAGTCCTCAAGGTGATATCTTTGCTCTTGAAAGAGATCATTACTTGTGGATCCAAGCAAATTGAAGTCTTTGACAACTTCAGCCTTTTCTCCATTTATCATAATGTTATTTATCGGTCCAGTGTGAGGATTTTTGTTTTCTTTCCATTGAGATGCAATCCATAGTGAGGGCTGTGTGTGGCCTTTGATCTTTATCGGTAAGTATTTTAAGTCCTCTTCACTTCCAGTGAGCAAGGTTGTATCGTCTCCATATCACAGGTTGTTAATGAGTCTTCCTCCAATCCTGATGCCATGTCCTTCTTCATATAATGCTGCTTCTCAGATTAGTTGCTCAACGTAACGATTGATTTAGTATGGTGAAAGAATACAACCCCGGAATACACCTGTCCTGATTTTAAACCATTCATTATCTCCTTGCTCTGGTTGAACAACTGCCTCTTACCTTTTGCATAACCAATAAAGCACAAATAAGTATCTTTCTGGTATTCTTTACTTCTAGTCAGCATCCATATGAAGTCAGCAGTGATATCCTCTGTCCCACGTCTTTGTCTGAATCTGACTAGAACTTCTCTCAGCTTCCTGTCAGTATGCTGCTACAACAGATACAGAACTCTGTCAATGTGCTGGGCCACTGCACCAGTTCGGGTCTCTTCCAATCAGCTGGCCAGGTTGCTGTCTTCCAAATTTATTGGCATAGAAGAGTGAGTGCCTCTAGTGTCGCATCTTGAAAACCGAGATAGTCATGTTTACAATGGTTTCTAGTGTATCTTTTGTAGGGCTTGAACACATCATGTAAAATATGGGATGGTTTTAATTCAGTCTGCCAGATAATAATATCATAAGGAAATTTCTTTTTCAAAGCTCACTCAAAGAAATCAATTTCAGGAAACTTGGCCATTAAAGAGAGACAACTTTTGATGAATTGTAAATAATGAACTCTTGGCTGTGGAGAATCTGTTTTGGAGTCCTTACCCTACTCCCTCGGTCCTCTCAAACTCCAGGTGGACTGCGATTTCTTTCCTTTACTCATTTAGAAAAAAACCCTATGGTGGCA